GTACGAAATTCGCACCGAATCGTATCTGGCTCGTGGTTAACCATTAACGCACCGATATTTCTTCGAATTTGGCTCGCCACGTATCAGATATGACAGATGTTTCGCTCGTGTATGGGGCGCTATTGTAGTCGTGATCAAACGGATTTATGCTCTGTTTTGTTTTTGTATGGACTGTTGCGGATTTGCTGGCTTTTGAAATGTAAACTAGACTTAGTTGTATGCCATTTAACGGTTTTTATTCGTTTAGGAAAAGTGGCTGAGCACGACAATTTGTTAGAGCCGCTTCCAAAACGCGCGGCTACAGTCGTCTGTTCACCGCCACCCGCCATCAATGAGCCGGTGCCGACACATTTGCCCGAGCCTATTTCTACGGGCGGGATGCTCGCCCGATTTCGCAAGGGACGTCGTGGTAGCAGCGCTGAAGAAAGCGACCAGCTGGTTTCCAAAAAGAACGCACAATCACCCACTATTTTGAAGCCTACCGGTAGCTTTGCAAACTTGAGAAAATGCGAAACTGTGTTGGCACTTACTACTATTTTGAGGTCCGTTTTTAACACTTTTCATGGTCTATCTCACGTTCATGGGGGACACTTTATAACCATATAAAGAAATTAGGGGGAGATTCAATGCTCACCAATAACACTGGTGGTGAATAGGGTGTTTTCACTTTTTTTTTATGTTGATATATAGAAAGTAGTTATGGCAAACATTACACTGATATAATTTTTTTCTTTTTTAAAAAAAAAGCTTCATAATAATTTTACAGCGAATTTAAATTCCAATCAGATATTTTCCGCCAAAAACGCCGAATCCGTATTGTCGGTTGCCGATCCCGATTATGACGTAGCAGGTCATATCAACAAAGTGTCTCGTGTTTATTTTGTTGTTTTCGCAGCTTTGTATTATTATTTAAGTTATTGTGATTATCATTATTTTATTGATTATTATTATCTTGCATAATGGAAAATAGTGACATGTATGTATAGTCCTGCTTTTGAGCGTCCGGGAAAAACTAATCGAAAGTTTAAATTTCTTGAAATTCTCATGGATTCCCGGTAGACCTTTTATCTCTATACTCCCTAAATTTCAGCGCTTTGGAATCTCCAGTTTGGTGGCTACCAATTTTTGAAAAAGGCCCTACCTAACCCAACTCTCAAAAATTATTTTTTTCCGGTGTAATTCTGCCGCAGTTTTGCCGTTTTTTCGAACTTGGGGGACCTTAATCGGACTTCGACTGAAATGAAGTGTGGAGGGTAAAAACGCGAGTTTTTTCGGCGTAATTTTACCGTAGTTTTACTATTTTTACAATTTTTTTGCATCTGAAAAACGGGATTAAACACCCGAAACTTCGGCTTTTTCAGTTGCTTGGCATATCAACGTCGGACCTCTATTGGGGTCGTTCTGAGCGTACGAGTATGGAGGGTGTCAAAAGGCAAAATTTTGGTCCTAAATCCGGCTGCACTTCTAGGCATTTGAAAACTGCATTCAAAAGCCCAAAATTTCAGCTTCTTCACAATAGGGTGCTTTCACTTTTTTTAATGTTGATATATAGAAAGTAGTTATGGCAAACATTACACTGATATAATTTTTTTCGCAAAAAAGTCCATAATAATTTTAAAGCGAATTTAAATTCAAATCAGATATTTTCCGCAGAAAACGCCGAATCCGTATCGTCGCTTGCCGATTCTGACGTAGCAGGTCATATTAACAAAGTGTCTCGTGTTTATTTTGTTGTTTTCGCAGCTTTGTTTTATTATTTAAGTTATTGTGATTATCATTATTTTTTGATTATTATTATCTTGCATAATGGAAAATAGTGACATGTATGGATCACAAAATAAGTGGTGTTTTGTGCCAGGATGCCTCAATAAGTGCTCCGAACAAACTCTTTCCAACCGTTCCCCATGATTATGCACGTAAAGCTTTATGGTTCAAAGCAGCTAGACGTGATGTTCCTAATCAAAATCAATGTTTTTTAATACAAATTACAAATTTAAGAGTTCATTTTACTTTTAAAGCAGCCATGTGAGGTTGTTGAATAAGTGAATTCCGAATGTATATTTACCTAATTTAAACCAATACAGACAGATGAGTATATTAAGGAGAGAGTAACTAATAATGAATTTACGGATTTTTACTTACGCTGCTGCTTTGACACCCTTAGATTCGGCTGAATTAAAGCGTTCGTGGTTTTTTAAAAATTCGGTAACCATAAAAATATGAACACATGGTAAATTGTTTGTTGACGCTTTAAGGAATCCTTCTGAAGCCATTTTTTAGTTTAACACAAACTATAAATTATTTAAATCCACAAAATAATTAATGAAACACAACCACACATCTAAACACCATGCACAGAACGTAAACAATCCGCCATTTATATGACTAGAGACGTCACAACCAATAGGATTGCGTTTTAGAAATTCATGAATAATTTGAATTTTAGCTGAATTTGTTTATTAAATATTTAACAAAATAGTAATAGGTAGATGGTATAAACTTATTTAATCTGTCATATATGTATATATATTACCATAGATTAATATTCAGTTTGTGGGAATTTTTGATGCAATGAAAACACCCTGTTAGTCCTCTCTGTATGTGGCAATTTGCTGAAAATTGATATGAAGCAGTTATTATATTCCTGTGTCCGGGTGTCCGCCCTAGTTTAACGATTATTTGCCTTTAGGTCTGCCTCCAGCTCGTCTTCTATAGAGCCAATTCAGGCTCAAAACCGACTTCGGAAAGCTCCAGAGAGTCGAATTTGCTCACGCTGCTCCAGCCTATTATCACTCACGTCAGGCTCGCGCTACTCGCTAGACTCATCGGGAGGATTTTTTCGGGTCCCTTTAACGCCCGAAAACTTGCCCCCTATTCTCTGTAAACTCTGTCTCGACGAGGTACCTGCCGCATTTGTGGTGCGAATTATTCAGTGTGAATGTGCGTTTTGTTTAAAGGTGAGATTTAGGTTTATGCACAGTATATACATACGGTGAACAGTTGAACAGAAAAGCAAGTAAATACTGATGTTCAGGATTTTTCAGTGTATGAAGGCATATGTGGAATTTGAAATTTCGCAAGGGGCATACGACATTTCGTGTCCGGACGCACAATGCTCATCTCAGGGAGTTTTGCAACAAGATGAGATTCGAAGACTGGGTGGAAACGAACTGTTGGAGAAACACCAAAAGTATAGACTTAATAGAGGTCAGCATGTCTCTTTCTTCAACAGTCTTAAGTACTGACCTTTTTTTCTTTATAGAAGTAGAATTGGACAAAAACCGTACGTGGTGTCCGCGAGCAGGTTGCGAGACCGTGTGCCGATTGTGTCCTGCACAGCCCTGTTCCCCCCAATGTGTCTTATGTCCCACTTGTTCGACTGATTTCTGCAGCAACTGCAAGCTGGAATGGCATGAAGGTAAATATGTGCTTATTGCTATTATATCGAAAGGCGGAAAATATGGCTGGTTTGCACTAATCGCGAATAACTCCAAGATGATTCAACATCGAATGTAGATCGAAACCAAAATATGTACTTCTTTTCAGGAGCGTCCTGTGAGGAGCACGGAAAACGTTTAGCGAAGGAAGGAAAATCAGTACCTGACGTTGGCATTCCTTTTGACTCCGATCTGATCAAATGCTGTCCAATGTGTGGGGTGCCCATCGAGAAGGACGAAGGCTGTGCCCAAATGATGTGCAAGCGCTGCAAGCATGTTTTTTGTTGGTATTGCCTGGCTAGTTTAGATGTAAGTACACACTTCCTACGGACGAGAAGTGGAAATGTTAAGCGCCTTAAAAGGTATTTTAGCTGCAATTTTTACTGTTCTTAGGACGATTTTTTGCTTCGCCATTACGATAAGGGCCCTTGTAAGAACAAATTGGGACACTCGCGCGCTTCTGTGATCTGGCATCGGACGCAGGTGATTGGCATATTTGCTGGATTCGGAATTCTTCTGTTGGTGGCCTCCCCGCTGTTGCTGTTGGCTGCGCCTTGCATCGTATGCTGCAAGTGCCGTATTTGCAATGCCGGTACGACAGGCAGCACCAAACTGAACTCTGACGAAGATACACAGGACGATACGTGATTAATGACCTGTATTAGTGAGTTACATTTTCTGGTTGTGACTGTTCATTGTGTACGAAATGCGATACTGTTTGTGTTTGATAGGCGAATAGAAGATTTATAATCGCCCTGTATGCCCGCTAGTTCAAGGGACCGACAATTTCAACCGTATTTCGGTGTTAAGTAATTAACTCGGATAACCGAAATTGATGGCGACAATACGTTGAAAGTAAGCGTTTGGTCATTAACTTTAAATTTTGTGACTTCCTAATTTGTGACATTAATTTCGGCCTTTAAGTTGAATATTTTAGTACTAATTTTTAAGGGTCATTAGTCCACTCTATATTTGCTGCCCTTAGTCCACTCTATATTTGCTGTTAAATTACGTGCATCGTCGGCAGTATGTTTAACGTGCGATGGACAGCAATAATTTGCGTTTGTGCCTTAAATATTTTAAGTTTCGTTGCTAATGCTTGTGTTGATCATGCTAAATTCAGCCCGCAATGGTTCAATCGCCAGCCAATCTTTTCAGGCAGAATTGCGTTGTTTTCGTTGATACTTAGGTTAAGAAATTCACTAACTCATATTGTTTTTATGTGTTGTATTTAAAATTGCGTTTAATCATTGGAGTGATTAGGCAAACAAGCTAGTCAGACTTACAATATATTTTTCGTGACATTTTTAGTGGCATCGGACAGGCGTTCTAACTTTATGTACTGATACATCTATTTTTACAATATGTTAATTAGGAATCAAGTTGCTCTATCGAAGACGTTGAATTAGTAAACGTAAGGTACTGAGTTTATGCATGGACGGGACCTGTGATAGAACTGTGATGAGATAATACCGTCTGTCTCTTAAACTCATACATGTAACCCTATGGAGGATACTGTTATATATTAATAATATGCGGACAGTTTTTGAGCTTCAAACGATTTGCTGAAATAAATACATCCTTCATACTAAGATGTATGATAATTTTAATACTAAAGGATTCATTGTGTAGACAATTAACCACTGTTTTTAAATACAGCAAAACTCATTGTTTTATTTCCAAGTGCGATTCTACACATTATTTTGCAGAACTCCGATTAAGAACAATTTCTTCTTGAAATACGGACCCAAACGAAACACTGCAGCAGGTGCATTTTCAGGTAGAATATCTTGGCATTTACTGATCATACAAAATTGCCACTCGTCAAGTGATATTTTATTCGGGTTTTTAGTTTTCAGTGCGATGATCCCTGAGCTCTAGATTGACGCCTGCATCAGAAACGGTCTGGACAAGCACATGCTTTCCCAAGAATCGTAAGAATTGGAAAAAAGGGCGTGAAGACTTACTGTTGAGTGTTGTTCTTCTAGATCGTCTCGGCTCTGTTTATATGGTAAGATTGTAAGAAGAAAGTTACACTACCTCCGTAATGGAAGGCAGTCGAAACTAGTCATCAGCATTTTGACCGCCTCCAGGTCCAGCAACAAGAAACCATCTCGGATTAAGTATAAGTACTTAGTTAAAAAGTATATGGAAGAAGTAATGAACAAACGGAAACAGTATTAAATAAGGGCAATTTAAGAAAGATTGTAAAGCGGCAGGTGGGCATCAAAACTGCGGAAATGATCGTCTTATACAGGTACTGAGACTAAAAGGTTACATAAAATATGTATAACGTATAATGGACTTGCACAGGGAGCTGAAGGGCTGCACAACTCTGTGGTTCAGAATTTCCCAACTACAGACTAGATGGGGCAGCTTTTATCATCTAGTTAAAAAACCAGATTTTCCGTAAATAACACAAAATACTCTAAGACAAACTGCTGTTGCCCACACTTTATTGCTTAAAGGCTACAAAATGTACTGATAATTAAAGTGAAAGGCAATTATTAATGCAAAGGTAAAAAAAACAACAGAACCATTTCAACAATAAATGCCACATTTGCCTTGTAGAATTTGCAACGAATCAACTATTCATTCGGCATAAACGTGGCTTTTATTTGCAGAATGGTGTTTAATATCAAAATTAGAAATTAGTGCTAAACATGACGAGAAGACAATCCATTAAAACGATAGCGCTAAACGATTTAACGCATCCTACTAGTAGATCGTGCTCATTTTGTTTCATGAAATTAAAACAGACTTATTGACGAGGGGGCAGGTATCCGTGCTGCTGGGGGTTGGGCTGCGTGAACGCCTTAGAATAAGGGTTGGCCTGTCCGGGGGGATAGACTACGCTGCCCGGCGGGTGCCCGTATTGTTGCTGAGTAGGATAAGGTATGCTACCTTGGGGTGGGTTTGCAAACGCGTTTGAACTTGGAACTTGGGAACTGTCCATCACTTGGGGAACGTATCGGCTGCAATCAAACATTGTATAACGCCATGTAGACACACATAGAACACTATTCTAAACAAACAAAATCAATGCGGCTAAAATACAACAACTTCAAACTGACTAGTCGCATTTCATTGGGCATACAGGTATGCACATGACCAAACAAGTTTCTATTGTATTTCCAGGACTGCTCCAGCATCTAACTCTACTAAAAGGACGTTGTGAAATATTTCTGGAGCAGAGAGCAAGCATCTAACTAAACATAAATAAACGCCACACCCTGATCAGATCAGCTCCAAAACTGCCCAATAACAAAAAATACTACAAAACCACTTTCTTGTGCTGCCATGCCATGCTCCACCAATGTCACTACAATGAAGTAAAAACAAGAATACATACAACATACCCAGTTGACGGAAAATTGTACTGCTGTGGATATGCAGACAGACCTGGATACTGCATTCCCAAAGAACTCCTAGCAAAGTAGTCGTTCATGTGTGAATTCACTGCTGCAGCTGACGTGGACACAGGCTGCTGCTGCTGCTGCTGCTGAGATGCAGACTGCTGAGAAATCATGGATGCTGACTGGGGCCTCGAATTCGAACCCTCATTCTGCAAAGCCAACTATCGCATGTATCTTTGTGCACTCCGTGTGCATAGATACTTACCTGAGGTGTAGAGGGCTTTGAAGGCGGCTTTTGGTCCTCAGTGCCATTCTTTTGGTGCTTCTCCTGTAGGGGGTCGAACTCGCTTGAATTGACTTTGCTTACAGTACTATTGGGGGCATTGGACTCTAGGGCAAAATCGCTGCACTCTAGAAAACGGCAGGACCTTTTATAGTGCAATGTTAATCATAGAGTGGTAGATGTTAATCGTACCTTGTCTATGTGAGGCAGGCTTGGCGGTCTTGACTTCGTCGACATAGTCCAGCAGTTTATTCACGTGATCGCGGATAGTTCTAATTTGCTGCTTCAGCTTGGCTACGTCAGTCCGGGAAATGTTGTCAGTCTCACACTTTTTGTTTAGGAAAACTTGCAGCTTCAGTATTCTACTGCACTGGATGGCAAATGATAGATCAGTGCTATCAAAAATTGTCACTAGATCGCCATCTGCAAACAACGCGAAACAAGGATTTAACTTTGATAGTACGCCATATAGCAGTTGCAATATTTAATGTATGATATTGGCACGCTTTCCTTACTGGAAACACTACTAAACAAAAGCCAGTTAGTTACCTTCGTCTTTGTACTTCAAAGTAATATCGTCATTTGCAGATAGTTTGCCCCGAAAAACTCGTTGCATCATTAAAACTAATTCGTCGTACGTAATGGCCTCGTTGTGTATTGGAATTCTTCGAATATCATCGCCAAACTGAATTTTAATAATTAATTTGCCACTGAGATCCAGGTCGCCTTTCATGTCCATTTTGCTCTGTAATAATTTTGATCGGCTTAATAGGCTGGAAGGGTTTTAATAACTGACACTCACCTCGCTACTAAAGAAGCTTTCTCATTAAACACTGAAATAAGGTGCTGGACTTCCTTGAAAAAGGTAATTAAAATGTGCAAGATACAAGAAAAACACCAAAATCAAAGCGGAACGTTGAATCTTGTTACGTCCCTGTCAATGTCAAATTCGTTAAGGACGGTGTCATAAAAGTTTACCAACGGAGTTGCCACAATTATATTAATTCCTGACTTGCTGAGCTTAGTATTCAGTATTTGATAGTAGATGCACGAATTTAACATGGAATGCTGACCAACTTTAAATCTGATCTGAAAGCCAGGTAACTAACAAATAAGTTTGATTCTTCTAGATAATAAATAGATAAATGAATACAGTTAGTGCGAGCATACATACATTCGAAGAAGATAATTATAAAGTTAATGAAGGCGGCTTCTAAATGCCAAGAAATTGAGGGTGCTGAATTATCAGATACTTTCCTAAGTACGAAATATATGTATTTTATTATTTCTCGAAAATTGCAATTACTGTAATGACATTACCAATTATTGGGTTACCAATTATTGTTAACGTCTTTTATGGGGAGTGCAATATTTATTAGGCTGATAACTGATTTTTTCGGCCTAATAAAACTTGGTGAATGCAATCATTAGGAGTCAAATATCGGAGAAATTCCTCACATTCCCATAGTTTGTGTGCGCATACCACTACGTGGAGAGCTGAATTTATCTCCATAACCTATCATTGCAGTTTCCATTCTAAGGGGGTATGTTCTCTGATTCAACAGCGTGTATTTATCTATGGGATTGAAGTCTGCCACAAAAGACAAATGACAACGCTCAGGTGTTCTGTGACATTGCCTTTCCGTTGAGAAATTTAAAGTGAAACGGTTTGTTGTAAATATAGATACTTTATCMATTGATATAAGATCAAACTCTATTTGTTTAATGTTTCGATATTGGTGTTGGTGGAAGTTTTGTACGCACCAGTGATAGTTTCTGCAGTTATGTTTTTCCAGGTAAATAGTGTTTTCAGCTTAATAGGTACTCAACAGAGTAATTAAGTCGATGTGTTTGAAATAGTTAGCTAGAATTCCTCATGTCAGATCACAATTAATTGAAACTGAAAAAACTACCAATTGCCAAATGCGCAAATTGATTAATATAGCTGGGTAAAAGCTTCATCCATATTCGCATTCCTATATTTTAGAACTAAAATATGTGAAATGTTTGTTGGACGAGGTTTTTTTATTCGTGCTGATATGAATATGCTGATAAAGGCGAAGGCATTTAATTAAAAAAATATATCAGGCAAAGACCAGGTGGAAAATGCAGTTGAGGTCCAAAGCAAAAATAAATTTTAAACAAAAGCACTGGATATGGGGAAGCAGTTTAACGGGTTGTAAACGGTTTTTTGCGATTAGCGGCGAAACGTGACCTCCTAGTGGAAAACGTTCAATGGCATAATTGTAGATAATAAAAAATCTAAAACGGCTGTATTTAACACTTTTTGACATACCCTCAAATTAATGGTCAAAATGGAAAAAACAAAATTTACAGAAGGTATTTAATTTTTTTCTGGCTCATAAATTATTTAATTTACATGAATATTTGCAAAACTATGTCTTTGTTGGTGTTTAATAAGCATGATTTTTTTGTAGTTCAGAACACGACTAGTTTTCGAGTGTACATTTTGCGCTATTTACTGTAATAATTTTTTTTACTGTAATTTGATTACATGAAAACAACTTATGTAAATATAGTCCACTATTACCAAAAATAATGAAGAAATCGAAAATCATTTAAAATATTGAACAAATCATGAACCCGAGTCTTCATTTTTTCGCATTTTTCGGAACAAACAAAAACTTTTTCCTTTTACATTAAATCTTTATTAATTTATTCTGCTGCACTTTTATCTCCAATCGCAAAAATCTCCACAATGGTATTCACAATTTCCACAATAATATATTTTTTTAAATTACAAGAAAAAACATAATTACACCTTCACATGTGCTCGTTAAATCAGAATAAAAGACGTTTTCAAATTTACTGTTAAACAGACAGAGCGGAAGATGTTTGAAAAACACAGTTGATGACTGTTTCTTTCACAAGGCAAAACGTCGGAGTATAAAACTGATTATGTATTTCCCTCGCTGACTTAAAGTTGCTGTGAGAACGGGCAGTCGGTTTTTCTCCAGATTCGTTATTAAGTCAAAACATAATATAATCGTAATTCGGAAATGCCGGCTTTTTTTCAAATAAATCAGAAACCGAAATTTTAATCGGACGTTTTAGAGAGCTCTTCTAATTGCGCAACGTTTTTCCCATTTAATCAACTTTGCGATTTGCCGTATCCCCATCCTGGCCCTTCTTAACTTGGACACAGTGTATGTGTAGAAAATGTTACATTATAATGGTGGAATAACATATTTTTGTTTTATTGCTTCACATGGACAGAAAGAGTAACGCATGATATGAAGCATAAACGTTTATATTAAAACAGTTTGTAGTTGTCGTGTTTTTGAACGATAAATTATCTAATTTTAGATTTCCCCTGGGGTTCAAAAGAGGGCCAAATGTACTGTGCCGAGGAAAGTTAATGACGAGGAGTCCCGAGTGGAAGTTGTGTCGCTTGCCCCATTTACAGCCAGTCCAAAACTGGAGTTTAACAATGTTTTGGCAGGTACTGCAGCAACCAGAAAACTACTTGTGAAAAATCCTACAGGATTTGACATCGATGTGAGTTTTGCGTTTACTATGGTGTCTTTCAAATTTCATTGTAACGATGATAAGATAGAAATATGTGAAAACACATCTTGTACTCACTGTACTAAAAGTCGGCTACAAACATCCAGTCTTTTTGAAAGTTTATTTTGTGGGCCCTCTCCCTTAAATTCGCTCAATCAAAGATTGAACAAAAAAGTAATTTGAATGCAACGGCTCCATAGGGCTTTTCAGATTCATTTGGAAACTATTTTGTCTTGAATATTTTTTCACATTTTACATGTTTTTAGATATTTAATGAAATGCAGCGCCCTAGTTACTCAATGATTTGTGTAAATTTACGTTTGTACAGAATATTGTCACAGGGCCGCCACGCTCGCCCAATTTTAATCCTTTGGATTATTTTGTTTGGCATCTAAAAGTCGTTTATGAAACCCCAGTAAAAACCCATAAAGGAATCAGATTAACACAAAATGTAAGGGAAAAAACTTGTCGTTGGATGGCAAAGGAAACTAACAAATTATAAATCAGCCGTCTATTTAACTCTAATGCAGCTTAAGAATCGAACTTGCATCACGAATTGTTTCTACTTGTTTTTTTCTAATCAAAACACACTGAAAATTTTTACATCACGTTCACTCTACAGGGGAAGGCAATTTTTTTATAAATACATATTTTAATCTGTGCGTCGGTATGGACTCGTAACCATATTGGATTAATATTGAATACCTGCAACGATGTTGATTAAACTTTTCGAGTGTTTGTTTCCTAACAGTAGAACTTGTAGATTTGAATGTACTTTCCATTTCATCTAATTTGTTTGGTTTTAATTAGCTGTTTATAGAAAAACATATGCCAGATGAAATGGACGTGGTTCTAAGCTGGAGTGAATGCAAGCTTCAAAAAGGAACTAATCGTCTATTGGAAGTAACATGGAGACCCGTTAAAGAAGAAGTGTGCAGACATAAATTAGTGTTTTGCGATGGACAACAGATGAACAAAAATATATTTATCATATTTAGATCTGTTGAATTAACGGTAAGTGCTATGATATTAGTCGAAAATTAGAGTTCTAATGATCTAAGATTTAAGTATAGAAACACTGAATTTCTACTGATCTGATCTACTACCTGGAAACATACAGGCTCAAAAGTTATTGATCTAAATCTGACATTTAGGAAATTATCGTATCGTATATTATGCTACTTCTTTTATGTAAACTATATTTAGTCTGTTTTATCATTAATATCTTCAATTGATCTAAGCTGATTCTAATTTCACAATCTTATTATGTTAACTCGTTAGTTTGATTGTGTTTGTAAGTGTTCGAGTATAATTCTGATTGGAATATTCAATTGTCTGGTTTCTCGTGTTAGTTAGACAAGATAGATTCAGTATTGTTATAAGAGTTATTTAATTTTGTTTGTGGAGCAATATTTCCGTCGCCGTTAAGTTTGTTGGATCGTACAATCGTTGGTTTCATGAGATTTGTAGTGGGTTTTGGGGTGTCTTCATTTTGTTAAAGATCTTAGAGCAATCCCTTCGGTTGTTTGTATTGCATTGCTTAGTTTTGAGGTGCATTGCTCTGTCTGTTCGCGCCTTTAGTCCAGCAGGAGTCTACAAACTGCTGTGTATATTTTTGTGGCTGTTTTTGGTTGTATTTCTTTGTCTTTGTAAATTAGCGAGCGGAAGTGTTTTGCCTTTTCAATAATTTACATGTTAGGCACGTTTTTAAATTTTAGTTTTTTGTCTTAGGTATTTTACCTCTTGATTTAGAGCAGTTCTGATCCCGTCTGTTATCATTGCTAAAGAGCTGACTTTTATTTGAAGGTTTGGTAAAAGTTGATCTTTTAATTTGCGCGTTTTCTATCTCCATTTACGGAACCATATAATTGTGGATTAGCGTCGATCCCTTGTCTATTAGTCTTTGATATTGCTCTACAGCCTTTGATGTCCATCTTTATCGTGCATAATCAGTGCAGTTTCGTCAGCATATAAGTAGAATTATTTAGTTAGATTAGACTGATCGGTAGTCTTCTTTACAGGAAACGAAAGTGGGCAGGACAGTAAAGAAAAACAATTCAAAGGCCATATCATGTCAACTAACCAGAAAAACCGTATCTCCGACAAAAAAGTTTAGTTCTCAGAGAAACTCGTCAAAGATGCCAACTGCATCAACCAGCCGTTCAAAGATCGAAAAGGAAAATGTTTCTCCTTGCTTCTCGAAGCAGCCATTGCAATATTCAATAACCAATGTTTCAAACGTGAAATCATTTGTCGACGAAAAGGTATGGATGTTTCAGACGAAAGGGTCAGTGATGCACGGATTACCTCCATTCGAAAGTGCATTTGCAGATCCACGAAGAGAAACATTTACAGTTCGCCCTCCGTTGATGCCATCTATAAATATCGACAGTCCGCAAAAGAAAAGTCCCGATTATTCTTTTGGTACTAAAAACAGTCTTTCAGATACTAAACAGATATTTGCCATAAATACGTCTAATGAACTGTGGGATAGTCTGGAGTCACCATTATTGCGAAAAGGGCATGCCAGAGCGTCGACGCCTAGCTTAGAACAATTGTTAATAAGTGCCAATGCTGATAATTATGAAAGAAGATCAAACAGAGATGGCTGTGATAGTTTGTTCACTCCTCTTAGCAACTCAACGACCAGGAAACCAGCATCAATTGATATTTCCTTGGAAAATTCAAGTAACGTAGCGAATTTTTTTGGACAGGCCGTTGGGCCTGTAAGTCAGTCTCTTCTGAATGTAGGAACGACTTGCCTAAAGAGCAATGTTAGCACAGAGACATATGTAGTCAACAACTGTAGTTCGGATACATTTTTGAAAACTGACCTCAGTGGAGGAACTTACGTGAAAGACGAGTCAGTTAATATATTAGATGTTTCTCCATGTACTACTGGATTCAGTTTACAAATCGGCAACAAACGCAAAAGTTCAATAATTGGAGAGCTGCCAAGCAAAAGAGAGCGATTCCAAACGTCATCTGTTCCCGCTTTTCGGTTATCAAAAAGCACGAGTGGACTAAACTTGAGACAATTTTCTAGGTCTAGTGGCGAAAGTCGCCATAATCGTATTACGTGTATATCGGAAACAACAAACCAAACTGTGATTATCAAGAATCCTTTCCTGTATGCAAATATAATAGATCCATTCATGACGTATTCGATTTACAGCAATGAGAATTGGTTTAACCAGCAAGAGAAGAACTTTGAAAAGTGGCTAAACACTCTTTTAACACCGCCGAAGGGGTTAGATGCTAAAAGTGAAATTGATATTGCAAAAGTTTGGCAAGCATGCACTACCGAATCCGTACCTTTAGCTCCTTCCAAAGAAAAAATGTCTGTTGAATACCATACAAACAAGAAACTTTATCAGTTGAGAAAGCAAGCTCAAAACTTGTTCAGATCCAAGCAAATGAGTGATGTCTTGCAAAAAGTATGTCTAGTCGTTGAGACGGGAAAATTATCAATTCGCAGTGACATGGACATCCACTTGAATCTAAAGTTAAAGTCTAACATAATCCGTTTACTGTTGGGATATAACCCTTTATGGTTGAGAATCGGTTTGGAAACGATTTATAACGAAGTGATTCCATTAAGATCAAATTCTGATTCGCAAGGTTTGGCTAATTTCCTTCTAGAAAGGTTTCTGAAGGATCCCTATTTGTTGAAAAAATACAAGAGCATGTATGCTCCAAATTACTCGTCAGAAGTAAAAAAAATGATCTTAAAAAGATTTCTTATACTGGTGTACTTTCTGGATAGATCGAAATCGGAGAAATTGATACAGCATGACCCATGCTTATTCTGTAAAAATGCCGCTGAAAAGGCAAGCAAGCAGATGCTGATTCACTTTGCTAGAGAAACCTTGGCAGCAGTAGGGGATATCACCAAATACCTCAGATGCATAGGATATGTAGTGAACCATTCTCAGTCGTACATTGAGGAATTTGAATATGGTGTTCAGAACCTGGGTGTCGATTTGCGTGATGGCGTGAGACTCGCTAAAGTAATGGAGATCATCCAGATGAGAAATGACCTCACTCCCAGACTTCGTGTGCCGGCCATTTCTCGGCTACAGAAAATTCACAATATGCAGCTGGTGTTTACATCTCTGAAAGAAACTGGATATGAAATAATGTATGATATAATTCCTAAGGATATTGTCGACGGCCACCGGAACAAGACCCTGTCATTTCTGTGGCAAATAATATACAAGTTTGAAGCCCCTCTAATGGTAAAAAGTGCAACAACAGTTCAGACTTGGTTTAGGAGCTTACCGGTGCAGCTGAAACGACGTAAGTTACAGAGAGTGCACCAATGTAGAGAAAGCGCCGCACAAAAAATTCAGTCGTGGTACAGGCGGCAAAAGAAAATTCAGCTTTATTGTGCCTTAGGTAAATTTCTTCAAACATATATTAACGATCAAAAACAACTTCGTGCTGTAATCAAGCTGCAAAGATTTTTCCGAATGATTATTTGTCGCCGTAATTTCGAAAAGCAGCGCTATATCATTGTAAAGCTTCAGGCCTATTCCAAGGGATGGTTGATCAGACACAATTACAGGCGAAGGGTCGATGCAGCTATGGTTATTCAGAAAAATATTAGGCGCTTTATTTGCCGCCGGAAATTTATACGGCTTAGGAAAGCTGCTCTTACCCTACAGTATGCGTACTTAGCCAGAAAATCCATGCTGATTGAAAAGCAGAAGTTCACAAATTTAAAAAGGGCTGTCTTAATAACTCAAAGACGTTTTAGAGCTAAGTTGTTAATGAAGAATTGTCACAAAGAATACAGCGCACTTCGAGAGGCGACTATCAAGATCCAGAGTTTTTATAGAATGTACCACGCCAAAAGGCAATTTACACAGTTGAAATCGGCATCCATAACTATTCAACGTCGGTATAGGGCAATGATATCAATGAGAGCAGAAAAGAAGTATTACCTTGCTTTACGGAATGCTGTTCTATTTGTTCAAAGAAGATTCAGGGCTAATCTGTTAAAAAGCTCAGTTCAGAAAAGATTCCTAATTTATCGACGTTCGGCTATTGCCATTCAGTCTTATTACAGAATGTATCGAATGAGGAAATACTTTAGAACCTTGAGAAAAAGTGTAGTCTTTTTGCAACGAACGTTCACTGCTAAACAGCTAATGAAGAGAGATGTGGAAACCTACAGAGCATTAAAAATGGCAGCTATAACCGTACAGCAACAATTCAGAGCTAAGATCAAAGGCAGGCAAGATCGTTTGTATTATATTCAGCTAAAGAATGCTGTAGTAAAGATCCAACAAAAACACAGAGCAAATAAATTGATGTTGAAAAATCAACAAAAATATATTGAAATTAGATCTGCCACATGTAAGATTCAGATATGGTATAGATCACTACTCTCCATGCGAGTTACCAGACACAGGTACTGTTCACTAAAACGAAATGTGTTGCTAATTGAACAGCGATTTATAGCTTTAAAGTTGATGCGCGCTACTCGAGCGCAATATCAAAATATTCGCAATGCTGCCTTAAATATCCAGCGCAGTTACAAAGCCACGGTTGAAATGAGAGCTTGTAGAGCATCATTCTTGGAACTCAGACGGACAGTCATTATTTTGCAAAGGAAGATCAAGGCTAAACAGATTATGAAAAAGCACCGTCTTCACTATGAGGAGCTGCGCAAAGCTGTTCTTTGTATCCAAAGACGATATAGAGAAAAAACAGAAACAGTTTTGCAACGTGATCAGTTTATCAAACAGAAAAGAGCGGCAATTCGAATTCAGCGTTGGTATCGCTCAGTTGTGGAAATGCGCAAATGCCGAAATTATTTCTGGACATTAAAAAAAGCTGTGACCATAATTAAAAGTCGTTATCATGCCACAAAGCAAATGAAGATTGCCGCAAAAGCATACGAAAACTTACGAAAAGCTACCATATCAATCCAAAGCTATTATCGGCGTGTGTTGATAGTCCGGCAATGCAGGAAAGAACTGTTACAAAAACGAGTCGCTGCAATAACCATTCAGAGATACTTCCGAAACTATCAAAATATGAAAGTTTTGAATGATCGGTATCAGCAACTGCGATGCACTACGCTATTTGTTCAGAGAACTTATAGAGCTAAGCGAGAGATGTTGCAGTGCAAATCCGCCTATGAATCTCTTAGAAAGGCCATAGTTTTCATTCAAACAAAGTATGTCGCTAAAAAAATGATGCAGATACAAAGAACAGAGTTTCTTCGCTATAGGGAAGCAATCGTCAATATTCAGCGGCGATATAAAGCCAACATTTTGATGAGACAAGATAGAACCGCATATGTAAAGAATAGGAAAATGGCTATTATAATACAACAAAAGTATCGCGCCATCAAAGCAATGCGAAAGGAGAAATCGAACTTCGATGTTTTGAAAAAATATACAATTCTTATTCAGCGTCGGTTCAGAGCCAAGAAAATGGGGAAATTGTGTCGTTCAGAGTATATTTTATTAAGATCAGCAACTGTAACAGTGCAATCGCGCTTTAGAGCTACTCGCTCAATGTTATCATGCGCCAGGCAATATTCGAAGTTAAAATGGGCAACACAAGTGATTCAACGCAGATTCCGAGCTCAAACCTTAATGAAACTTGAGATGAACCACTACCTTAAAATCAGAAGTGCCACTTGCATCATTCAAAGGCGATTTAGAGACACAGTTTTAATGAAAATTCGAAGAACGTGGTTTCTAAAATTAAAATCTTCAGTTAATATAATTGAGATGTATTTCTTATATTATCGTAAGATGAAACAACAAAGACAGCTGTACTTGAAGCTCCATGCTGGAACTCTTTGCATTCAAAAGTTTGCCAGAGGTTATTTGGCGAGAAGAAAATTTGCTCCGTGTCTCACAAAAGAAGCGATCCAAATGAGAAGAGAGTTCAAAAGGCAAAATGCAGCAGCTACAACGATTCAGGTATGTTCCCATCATTTTTTTTGTTGTACAGGGTGCTCAACGAATATGAGTTGTTATTCGCATTTTGAAACATTTTAAAAGTTACAACAATGAAACAATAAAAAAATAACACAATCACGCTATACATTTAGAGAAAAGTACTTGACTCCAATACAAAACGAGACCCGCAAGCCCGATTAAGATAGGACGGATAGTTTTTGCATAATGCAATTGTTATGCAAGTAAAATTGAAAGGACCGGTAAATGAACATATTTTTTCGGAAAATCCCCGTCAGTGCATCGCTAATTTTCGAAATGTTTTAAAGTCTACAGGGGACTTTCAATAAAAAATGCTACTAATAAAGAGTTGCAATGTCTTGAGACAAATCTCCTCAATTGCGATTGAACTAATTGACTTGTATTATAAAAATCCAGGCATTCCGAAGAAGCCATTAAGTGTTTATGTTCTTATAACCAGAAGTGGTACTTTTTCAAATTATTTTAGAACAATCATAGTTTTCTAAACACGAATAGCAGTAAGTCGTAATATACCCCGTTTAAGATTGTGAAGTCATTATCTACTTTATTAACACTTAAAAGTATAAATAACTTGTAGGCAATTTGGAGAGGTTACGTCTTCAGAAAATTAAACATCTCTCGATTAGCTTCTTTGAAGAAACTGCAACAGAGAAGATTCTCACAGCCCAAGAAAAGCAAAACGTTAGCTCAACGATCTGAAGATGCAATGACTTGCATGATCACAAAGAATTCTTCATTGCATCTGATTCTGGCTGCTTTGGAAGACTTAGGTGGGTAATTTTGTTGATTGGCGAATATAACATGTTTAATGTTGAATTTAATTTTGTCTTCCAGAATTCATAGTAAGGCATTGTCGAGAAGTTTCCATTAGAATGAGCAACATTCTGCCCGACCAGTTGTACAGCATTATAGGGGCTGCCGCGCGATCGTTACCTGAAATGAATACAATTAATGTAGCAACGCAAATCTTAATTACATTCTGTAAATACCCACAGACTCGACAGAATAGCTTTAATGCGGATTACATAGACGGGATGATCGGCATAATGCTTCACTGGTGTGACAAGGAAGCGCCACTTTTCTGTACCATGTGCACATTATTATGGTTGTTCGCACAAGAGCGCAAATGGAAAAAGGTTAGTGCTTATTTTAAACATCTAATTTATCAGCGCAATCTAGTTAAATGATGCTAAAAAAAGCACAAAAAAAATTTCTTCAAGAGTTATAAAAACGTTTGTATGGGTTGATACATTGATCTAATCCCGTATGCCGAAGTTGCAACTATAAAACGCATTTTTCATTATGACAGTCACTTGAGTGTTGAACGTCACTTGAAGGTCTACGTGCATAGCAATACGTGCATTAATGACATATTTGAACTGCTTTCTTGATATTGACATTGTAATAATTTATACGATTATTACAAATTATTTGCCATTAGTTAGACCCTTGTAATTTCATCGATTAAATATGATGCAACACTTACGCAGTAACATATATACATTATCATAGCTTAGTTAAGCAGTTTTTGAATATAAATACTCAATAATGAAACTTTTGCAGATTATACTTAAGCTACCAAACATCTACCAGAAGCTTGAAAAAATTGAACTAGCAATTAATCGAAAACAAACTATGGTTTCAAATTCTAAAAAGAGTAATTTGCATTCGGTTTTTGTCACAAACAAAGCTGCTCTTACATTGCCTACCACAACAGCCACTTGGGGACTGGATTACCATAAACCAGTTACGTTTAGGGCTGCACCATTTGCATTTAAATGTTGTTTGTCTGCTTTAGATTTGTTATAGTAATTTTTTTTGTATCATTTTATATATTAACACTTTAATAAAACTAATAAATTTAATTGTTAACGTAAATGTTTCAGAGTTTTTTTATTTAGGTTTATTCCGATCTATTAACCGTCTAAAAAAATATCTTGTGGATATTTTTTATTAAACGAATATAAGGTATTTCAAAGCTGTCACGCACATATTTTGTTGAAACTATAATATAGTAAGTTGTTTAGTTTCCAAGGGAATTGTCCTAATCAATTATTGTTTATTAATAAAATTTGTTACTAAAGCCTCTGTCCCACGCATCCGATTATACGATGATGATTGGAGATCTGTCAGTTCGTACGACCGAATTGACAGATCTCAAGCCAATAGAAACACTTTCGTATAAATGGATGTATATTAGATCGCGATTAAGTCTTAAATCGGTTTAAAAATCGTAAATGGTATGCACATGCGTTCCGGTTGGAGCTGCTACTTGAGAAGTGGCGAATGGAGTTCGCCACAATTTGAACTAATAATTAAACTTAAAACTTGTCTATCTATTTGAGTTGGTAAACAAGCGAGAGTTGTAACAAAAATTAATGTGAATGGGAATGAATTGAACGATAGAAAAAACAAGAATCAAAAGCTTGCAAAAGTGGAATGGAACAAAGCAAAACAAATCACCAATGTCAACAAAATAAATGTCAATTTACTGGTTAACATGTAGTTATAATTTTAGCCACCAGGGAGCGTTTGCACTTTTGAAGTATATCTTTTGATCTCGCGCATACAATCAAAGAGCAATTCAACTAAACTCCCGTCTAGTGGTAGCTTCAATACTCCATTGACGCGATTTTTGACAGGTCTCACCCCGGTGAATGGCGCGCAGTTTCAAAATTTACATTTAGCGCCGTAAAGTATTTTTTGTCAAACAAATTGAAGGAGCATATTTAAATAAATTCCTTTCAGCATCTTGACAGCTCTGACGCTGTGTTTCTTTAGCATGCATCATTGTTTCTATGTGAAAATCGGCAGTTTTTTATTAATTCGAATAAAAAAGACGTTATTAAGTTATGTTTAAATCGCATTTAATTAACTAATTTTGTTCAGAACGCCATTTTTAAAATAAGCTAGGAATTGCCTACATTCAACAAACCTTTCTGATATCCTCATGTCATATATGTAATACATAGGAACAATTCAAACAAATACTGAAATTGATTTAAATACTCGTTAACACCAAATGCAAATTTTGAAACTGCGCGCCATTCACTGGGGCCAGAGGTGTCAAGATTTGCGCCCATTGAAAATTGGAGCTACCAATAAGCGCGACTGCATGTTCACCATAGAGAAAGTAAAATATTTTACTTACTCTATGATGTTTACTAGCGCATATCAGAGACAAGTAGACTTGTCTCTGGCGCATATATCCTCACTGACTCCTCGCTTAAATGACATGCGCAAGTCAGTTTGAGGTTACATTAATCAAAACAAACTTCTATTTACCAAAACAGGTATGTATTAGGTATTAGGGCTCTACGTATTAGGTATAAGCCTTGTTCTATGGCTCGGAATCAAACTCGAACAATTCGAGTATTCGAATATTCAAAAAGCGAATAATTATGTCTAGTCATAACTCGTCGTCTACTCGTCTTTATCTATCGGGGAGAGTAGTGCGAGGAAGAGACGACAGACTACACACTCTATTTTGTCTATTGTATATGTCTAGAAATCACTGTATGCAAGCTCAGACCAGACTTGTCTCAGAATAGTTTGATAATCTATGCTCTTCTGCTCAGACCACAGACAAAAAACTTCAATCATATGATGATGATGATAATAATTATTGAAAATCAAAACTGCTGTGGGGGATGATAGTAAAATAAAGTGGACACTCCTAGTACATCTGAGCCTTCCAATTATGGAAGAGTCGTGTCGCATTTGTCTAGAACTGGCTCTTGAAACTTACAGAGTGCCTCTTTCCTCGTTAACTAAAGCAAACAAAACCGTATGCCAACTAATTAAGGAATGTGCGTTGATCCAGGTAAGCCCTTTGCACTCTAGTACTTTGTACCTACTACTTGTATATAATTCTTCAGATTTGCGAACCGGACAAGTTGCCCCAGCACTTGTGCTGCAAATGTTATCAACAGTTGCTCGTGATGTACGACTTTCGTGAGTTAATAGTTTCATCGGACAATTGTTTGAAAGAAAAAATATATTCGAAAAACAGTATCATTAACTCACCAGAACCAGATCTTGCGTTTATTTGTATTAAAGGATTGCCAATCAAACAGGAAAAGAAAAGCCAGCAGAAAATTTCTTATACAACCACGTCTCCACAGTTGCCACCCGATGAAAAAGTTAAGTCCAGTTCAGAAAAAGAGCAATTTCAGCAATCTGTTCGAAAAAATGCCGGCAGGAAGCCTTCGAAAGTAGCCGAAAAGAAGCGAAAGGTACCTATGGCTGTTTAGGGTAGCTACACCATACGTATTTAAACTAACATGAAAAATTGTACGCAATTACTCAGGTGCATGAATTCAAATGCGAAATATGCAAAAAAGTATTAGTTGGCCGCTCAAATCGCCTGCAACAGCACATTATCATGGCGCATTCAGACATCAGGAACTTCCCATGTAACATTTGCGAGAAAAAATTCAAAAGCAAGCAACAATTGGTCAACCATTCCCGCGTTCACACTGGCGAAAAGCCCTATAAATGCGACATATGTAAAACTGCATTTGCGTAAGTACGACCGAAGTATTACTGGTTTTTTCACTGAACAATTTAGCTTAGACTGTTAAACAAAACTTAATAAGTAATAGTACTAATTTTCAATATGATCAGTCTTGTTTTGCAGGTCAATTCAGAGTCTGTTTAACCATAAAAAGAAGCATACCGGCAATCACAAAAACTATAAATGCGCCATGTGTTTAAATAAGGGTTATGCCACACCCGGGGAACTTGAGACACATCGAAGAATAGTACACACGGGCGAAAAGCCATTTTTATGCGAACTATGCAGTCGAGCATACAGTTCTCTAAGAAATTTAGTATTGCACAAAAAATCGGTGCACGAAAAGGTATACTGAACTGCGCTATTTTTTCACTTTGATTTAACATTAGCCCTCCAGTCACTAATGTGGAAGAGATTTTTAGACGGAAAAGTGCCCCAAATGTAGCCTAATGCTCAGCAATAAGAGAATAAAATACCATGTGCAGAAGCATCTGGACAAAGAGGAGGGCATCCGAAGATACACTTGCGATCAGTGTGGCAAATCTTTTTTCACCCAATCCGTGTTGAAGCGTCACCAATTATTGCACTTGAATCACAGGCCCTACGCTTGTCAGGTTGTTGATGAGCAAAAAGGCTTGACTGAACCTTGACTTGTCTTAATACGGCCTGATTGCAGATTTGCCATAAGGCCTTCAGTCAAAAAGGCTCGGTGGAAACCCACATGAAGACGCACAGTGACATCAGAAGTTACAGTTGTTCATTGTGCGACAAGACATTCAAGTACAAGCAACACTTGCAGCAACATTTGCATAAAAAGCACGCAACCAGTGTGGAATCGCTTCTGGAGACGATTGAAAGCGAACGGAAAGAACTTAGCAATGCACTGGAAATAAACGCTTCATGTTTGTTTATAAGGTAGACCCTTTAGATTTAAAATAATCGACAATATTCACCATCCATTTCAAGCGGTCCACAAGAATAGGGAACAATGATGCTTCCAAACCAACAAAAGATTAATTACGATTAGCTTTTTCTATATATTAGTGTCTGTTTACCTACACCATACATTTACCATTTACTTCTGCAATTGATGGATTGAAGAAAACAAGGAAACACTGTTTATTGAGCAACACAAAAGATACTAACATTAAAAGCATTTTTTTATTGATGAGCATGCAATTAAACTCACAAGTTCTTATAAAAAAAAAACATTAGTAAAATTATATAGCTTCTATTGATTCTAAAAGTTAAATCATCATTTATTCGAAATAAACTGAATTTTTTTACTCAACCTATTTGTGATGTTTGCTGGATAATACAGGTTCAAGACTATTTTGGCCTCTTTGATCATGTGTTCCACGTTTTGTAAAAATGATCTAAAGGTAAAACATCCTTTATTAAAGATCGGGAAAACCAAAGAAATACTCACTTCAAGTTCGTGCAGTTATTTGGATGACTACTTTTTAAACAGTGTAAAATGGCTAATGCTGCTTCGTACAGTTTCGTGCCGATGCCACGTGAATTTTCGCCTCGTCGTGCTTTTTCATTTTCGAGCCATAAATGAAAATATTTAAACATGTTTTCAGCATCTCCTAAAAAAATGATTTGCGACATTCTATCGTTGCACTCTAGAGAATAACATTACAACAAGCAATATTTAGGTTCATACAGACACAAAATAATTAAAATTTTCAAAATAAACCTAATGATATATCAGAAACAATATATTCACCTATTTCTACGTAATAGCTGTACAATCTATAGTAGACCTCTTCAAAGTCTTTATGATGCTTGTACAGAATTTGTTCCCGTATCGTCAAACTCTTTATTAAAATATCCAACTGATTGGATTCTCCACCTGCAGATCAATACCGTTCAATATAAATAACATTTTATTCTCTCACATCACTGAAATGCAATGTCTGTTCACTTACTTTCCAGATAGTTTTGGGCCTCTTCATTCTTCTTGCGAAAAGTTCGCAAGGAATCCTCGTCACCACAACTAAAACAAAACATGAATGATGCGTTTGGTATTTCCGGAACTAAACCTCTGCACTTGGGACAAATGTAGCTATCCAACATTTCCTAAAACAATAATGGAAATTCCTTACGGTCACTTTTTGCTGGCACATTGAAGCATTTAAATACACACCACTTCTTTAGACTGGTCGCTGCAGATTACGCACTTGCAATCAAAATGATATAGACTCTTACAGGCTATTTGACGCTGTTCTCTGTTCATTCCCCGGTAGTCGATGCCGTAACAGTTGAAAATTTCCTCATTTGCTTCAATATCTTCGATAGCTTTCACCACAATTGTATCACAGATAAAACTAAAAAATTAATATCTCTACCAGTTAATTAATCGTAATAAGCAAGGTAATACTTACAAGTTGGTCACATTAGCACGGCAAGAGTGATTCATGATGCTGACCGAGGGAAACATGCCACAGGCCACCGTGATGAGAATATCGGGAAAAAGAAGATCAGTGGATGAATAGGTCCAATGTTCGATGATACTCGAATTGCAAGACAACTGGGCAATATGCTTAGTGATAAGGCCACCTACGTATTTGATTAGGCTGTTGGAATTATTTTTGGGGCAGTTTTTCTGCTGCAGAAACCAAGAGAAGAAGTCTGTATACTTTTGCAAATATGAAACAATTATCGCTGACATCTGGAATAGATTTAGATAGCACTCTTTTGCTGTATATATAATTAGCATAAACAATAACGCTTCTGCCGTTACGTACCACTATATAAGGCGCAGCATTTTTACTTTTATAAATATTTGAGACCAATCTATTGAAATAAGGGTAATTGTCCTCTTTGCTGCCGAAGTGTTTCAAATCCTCGTCATAACCGCCCTTAATAATATTGAATCCGGACTTGACTCCTTTCAGCGCTGCCTTAAATGCAGGGAACCCAATGCCCAGATCATACCATATATTCGCCTGCATTCCTGCACATTCCCACTTATGGCATTCTTCCCACGAGAAGGTTCTACAGTTTTCATTGCAATAAACGCATAAAGTACACGAACGACACCTAAGAAACAATGTTCGGATTAGATTTGCAGGCCAAGAAAGCAAAGCTAAAACAACAAAATACTTACGGAATACTGCTTATAATGTCTGTTAAGCAATTGTAACATTTAAAAGAATACAACTCTTTATTCTCCTTGAAGACTGGAGCGAATATGAAGGCCTTTTCCACAAAAAGCACATCTCCTCTTTGAATACTTTTTTGAGCAATAACATGCCTTCCACGAATTTTGTCATAACTAAAAACGTGTATTATTATTTAATGTGCTGGAATGTTAGTTGAAGAAAAATTCACTGGCGTTAGTGATCTAATTCTAAGGTAAACGTTATGTTTCAAACCTCATTTTTAATTTCGAAGACGCAAAAGCGAACGTTTGATTCTCCCCATCTTCAAACCCTGGAAGATCGACAATAGAATTATCTCTACACATGTCAACCTTATTCTGTTTCAAAGTGGACCCCCGCAATTGATTCAATTTCAATATATGCTTATCTAAAAATACCGAACTGTTTTATTCACTCGCATAAGAATGGTATTTTCGCTCACTTTTATCCACAATTTTCGTTCCATTTAAGAACTTGAGCGCCTCTCGGATACACTTTTCCAAGTTGCTCTGCTGACCACTTTCGTACAAACATTCTGCTTTTCTGATATACACTTTCGGTCTCAGATCCTTTGGATAGTTACTTTGAAAACACAATTCTATATCTCTTAGACAACTCTGCGCATAAAAACACTGATTGAGTAAAGGGTGACTTTCAAATCCTTAATACCTACATTCTAGCAACCCAAAATCCAATTCACTCTCTAGTTTCAATTCAGATCTTTTCAGAAAATGATTTGTTTGGCTAATTTTAAATTACGTATTAGAACAGCCAGCGCTATCTAATAACTACTGATCTATGTAATGCTAGCCATAAGCCTATCATATCATAGTACATTTCAGGACCAATGGTAGTACCAAAACTAACCTCGAATTCTTTCATTTCAAAAGACACGGCTGACCGGTTGGCCAAAGCCAGCCCGTATTCTTTCCCATTGGGTGTGGCACAACATAAACTTCTAGTATAAAACTCCAGACTCTTTAGCAGGTCCTTCTTGGCATAGCACTTGTTGCCCTCTTGTCTGTAAATCGTGGACAATGAATCGTCCTTTCCTATTTTGTTCTTGAACTGGGTTTCCAGCCATGAGTCCACTGGAGACCTAAGAAAAGCTATTGCTGATCACTAAACTAAACAACTAGAATGGGAGGTACGTACAAATCGAGGCTGTAAAACTTGGCAAACAGCTCAAAAATATTTCCGTCTATTTTCGTAAATTTATCAGTATAATACGCGAAAAGACAATCCATGATTTGTCTGCGGGTTCTTCAGTTGATATGTGCCCTGCGTTTCCAACAGGTGCAGGTCCTTGGCATAAAATATCAGCTCAGCCAAGAGAGCATCTTCTACTTGCAAATTAACAAATGTACGTCAAAATATTTCCACATGTGGCTCAGTGTTGGTTTTTTCGCCTGGGTTGCTGGAAATACGGCGAAATTTTTATAATGGAAATAATTAGCATTCCAAAACTTGTAAATTAGGTTAGTTTTGCAATGCAAAATGGGAAATTACCGACTGCCATTTGTCAAAGATGTCCCAATGGTCGTAGGTATAATATTTAAATTTTTAGAAATCAGAATGTGCTTTATTGCCCCAGAAAACTTTACAAATTTTATGGACAAAGGGTAAATTATAGCTACTGTCCATCTTTTTCACAGTGCTGTAGGATAAATAAAAACTGAAAAAATTTACAACATTAATATATGTTTTAGTGTTATCCCACAAGTTACCCGACTTGTATGAAGAGAATTCCCATTATTCGAGGCCATTAAATGTATGTATAATAGTAAATTTGTTAGTTATACCACAGAACCCATTGTGTAGAAGAAGAAGTAGATAACAGCTAATAATAGCAAAGATTGAAGATGGATTGAAAAGAAGACGCAGATATGTTTTGGGCGCCAGATGCCAGGTACGTAACCTAAATTTAGTGTTTTCAATATTCTAAATAGGGTGACTGTTTTAAACCGAATCGCCGTTTTTTATCACATAAGCATATTTAATACCATAATGGAGGAAGAAATCCGGTCAATTTCTTCTCCATTAAGACGAACCTCTCGCAAAACCAAGCCAAGTTTACGAGCCTCCGAGTCCCTTTACACGTCCAACTTGAAATCCGCAGGCCTTGTAGCATCTTTGGAGACCAGCAGCAGTGATGAACAATTCCAATGCAGTGACGAGGAGGCATTTATCAGTCCAGAAAAGCCCAAGATACTGCATGCCAACGAAACTGTTAAAGGAAATGCAATATTTGCATTTCAGAAACGCAAGCATCTGGATGGCTTGGATCTGATAATACAAGAGGCCCAAAAGGCTACACATCAAGTCAGAAGGAGAATACCGCATATGTTTGACGATAGTGGAAGCGAGTACGAGGAGGAATCATGCAGTTCTGCGAGCAGCGGATCAGATGAAAGTGAAGAGCCATTAGTGAAGCAACGTATTCAATTTGAGGCAAGCGATGGCACCCAGTCAAAAACGTTCGCTAAATACACCATAGACACAGAAGAGTATTTTGCCAATTCGGGTTCATCTAAAGGAAGTAAAACTTCCAACAACACATTGGATAAGTTGCACACCCCAAGACTGCCCCAATATCAACTGCAAAAACTGTTGCTTAATAAAAGGCACAGCAGTGAGCATGTGAAATCAATGAAAAATCTGGAATTGGGATATGAAAAGTTGTTCACTAAATGGCTGTATGTGTTGAGTCAAAACTTTTCTCTGTTGTTATATGGACTGGGTTCGAAGAAACACCTGCTTCGAAACTTTCGAAGCGAAATATTACAAGACAGGCCAGCTATAGTTATCAATGGATTTTTTCCTACGTTAACCATCAAGAGCGTGTTGGACAGTATTATTGGAGATTTGTTAGAGTTGAGAGAAAGGCCTGCAAACCTGAATCAAGCAGTGGATCTGATAATCCAAGAAGTGGATAGGCTTGAAATCAGTGTGTTCCTATTAATAAATAACATTGAAGCGATCAAAAGCGCCAAAGCGCATAGCGTGTTGGCGGCGTTGGCCAGTAACAAACGCATCCACCTCATAGCCACTATAGATCACATTAATGCGCCATTGATATGGGATCACAATAAGCTTAGTAAGCTGAGCTTCACTTGGTGGGACGTAACGACATTTTCGACCTACCAGCATGAGACCGAATGCGAGATGTCCTCAATGACTCAACAAAACAGTGCTGTAGCTTTGTCATCGTTGCGCAACATATTTTTATCGCTGACGCAAAACTCAAAATCTATTTACTTGACTGTAGCCAACTATCAAATTGAGAATTGGGGCCAATACTACCAGGGAATGGCATTTAAGGACTTGTACATGACCTGCAGAGAAAGATTTATTGTTAGTTCCGACTTGGCACTCAGGGCGCAGCTGAGTGAATTTATTGATCACAAAATGATCAAAACTAAGAGATCATTGGATGATGGTACCGAGTACTTAGTAATACCTCTCGAGAAGTCAATACTGCAGACATTTGTTGAAGAGAATATGTGAAGATCCAATGAAAAAACGGTCAGCTGATTTTCAGTTGTTAGATTAGGAAATCGCAAAATATATTTTTCTTAAATAAAATAATGTTTTGTTACAGTTTACAACGACTCGAGGCGCAATAGCTAAAACTAACAATCCGGTTGATTTAAAGCATATAACGCAAGTCGTTAAATAATCGTTATGCTGAGTGTGTGATCGACATTAATTTCCGTATACAGACACCCGCTTTGGGGACCTGGGGGGCGGTTATAAATATTGGGCGTTGTTGCCATTGTACCATGCCCTTTAAAAATCATAAATCTAAGATTGGTTTTAATATAAGTTGACAAAAAACTTTTTAGTGGTCATCTGACGGGCATGGTCACGTTTACGTTTCCCACTTGAATCCACACTGTTTGACTCATTTTACATTCACAATACAATCAGCGCAATAGACAGAACAGAGGGCTGAGTATTCCATCTTATGACGGCAACATCGCATGGCAGAAGTGTTGCTTTAAGTTCAACCTCATGATACAATGAATACATTGTATCATGGTTCAACCTTATTAGTGTATGCGAAAGACTCATCTGATCAACTATTCCCAATTTATTACACACATTTACTTGTACAGCTTTAAAAATGCAGTCTTGGGGTATGAGTTTTATCAAGTACATGTTGTTCGTTTTCAATTTGGTTTTTGCGGTAAGTTTGACTTGCTGATATTAGAAGGTGCGAAGAATTTGTATATGTGCAAAACTGTCTTGACAATTGGGTGATTTTATATTTAGTTGAGCATGGACATTTGTCTTAGTTCTCAACAGCACTCAAAAGGAAAAAATATGAATGTTAGAGTGGTAGTATAGTCACTAATAACCACATATCAGGTTGATATAGTTTTTACGTTTCAGAAAAATACCGCTGAGCTTTTAGCTGCTTGACTATAAATACGCGTGCATTTCAGCAGTATCGATTTAACAATATTTTTCATAGTAAATTAAGGTCGACATTTCAAAAGCATTGTTGTGGTTTTTATTAAGATCCCATGGAATATTCTGTTCGAATTTGAGGAATACCCAAAWTTGTTCTACAGTAGTCGGACCTAAATTCAAACGTCTCAAATCTACGATCTACGGCWAAATTTTACGATTTCGAGCTTAAAAATTACTTTGCTCTTARAGTTGGCCAGGAAACACAAATTTTCGTTTTGGGAACCAATCTGTAAAAGAACGACGAAGAAGTGACCATATGTAAATGCACTAAAACGTCTCAAATTGGCTAARTTTTACGATTTAGAGCTTAAAAATAACCTTGTWCTTTTCRTTGGGCAGAAAACATGTATTTTCGTTTGGTGCACCAATCTGTCAAGAGAAGTGATATTTCCGAAACGTAACAAAGTGACAGAATGTAAATGCACTAAAACGTCTCAAAACGGCTAAATTTTACAATTTCAAGCTTAAAAATCACTTTGCTGCCTTCGTTGGCCAGAAAACACATATTTTCGTTTCGTGAACCAATCTGTCAAGAACAAGTTTATGTCCGAGACGAAAGGAACTGATGATATATAAATGCACTAAAACGTCTGAAATGGCTAAACTTTGCGATGTCGAGCTTAAAAATTACCTTACTGTTTTTGTTCACCAAAAAACACACATTTTCGTTTTGCGAATCAATCTGTCAAAGAAAGTGACATTTCCGAAACGAAAGGCACAAATCACAGAGGATTTGTGATCTGTGACAAAAGGAAGTGACGAGACGTAAGTAAATGCACTTAGACTTAAACGGTCCAAATCAGTTAAATTTTAGGATTTCAAGCTTAAAAATCACTTTGCTGCTTTCGTTGGCCACAAAACACATATTTTCGTTTCGTGAACCAATCTGTCAAGAACAAGTTTATGTCCGAGAGGAACTGATGAGGTATAAATGCACTAAAACGTCTCAAATCGGATAAACTTTCCGATGTCGAGCTTAAAAATTACCTTACTGTTTTTGTTCACCAAAAAACACACATTTTCGTTATGCGAATCAATCTGTCAAAGAAAGTGACATTTCCGAAACCAAAGGCACAGATCAAAGAGGATTTGTGATCTGTGACAAAAAGAAGTGACGAGATGTAAGTAAATGCATTTAGACTTAAACGGTCCAAATCGGCAAAATTTTAGGATTTCAAGCTTAAAAATCACTTTGCTGCTTTCGTTGACCAGAACACATATTTTCGTTTTGTGAACCAWTCTGTCAAGAACAATTGTATTTCTGAGACAAAAGGAAATGACGAGATRAAGTATTAGACATTTTAATTAAAAGAAAGTCTGTCATGTTCTCAGCAGGCTTTTTAATAGCATATCCATATARTTTTACATCGATCTATAAGATATTGTGTTATTCTAGGTATCCGGTCTAGGCATTATTACAGCAGGAGCACTGGTGTTGGCCGATGTCTCAGATGTTGGGCATTTTACCACCAGCGATTTATTCGGACCCCCAATAGTGCTAATCGTGACCGGATCTATAGTATTCATTATCGCTTTTCTGGGCTGCTTTGGAGCTATTCGCGAATCATACAATATTCTTCTTGCAGTAAGTAGGCGCTTGGCAAAATATACAGGGTGTCCCGTAAGCATATGATCAAAAGGGTACTGCGATATTCTTTGCATCAAAAGAAGACGATCTGACATAAGTTTTATTAACAAAAAATGTCTGGCTCCTCAGCTATTGATGGTCAAAGTTCTTCAAAAAATTTATCTTTTTCGAAATACCGGGAGAATGGTACGATGTATTTTCTCATATTTTGATGAAACAATCGAGTTCAGCCGTTTTGGACAAGTGGTGAATTCTTGAGTGTCGTGGTACAAAAACTACCAGAACTTTTTATTTGGTGGATGGAATCAAATCATTTTTTTTGTTGATGCACTAATCATTTATTCACAATTTTGTGCTCTTTGTAAAATCTTGTATCATTCACAGTTCCTACGAAAAAAATATTTCTGTTTTCTTACCACTTAACAATGTTAGGCATTATTATATACACATTTTCTCCTGATATTTTAAAAAATATTTTTTTTAAAGAAATTTGACCATCAATAGCAGACGAGCCAGACATTTTTTGTTAATATAAGTTAGGTCAGATCGTCTTCTTTTCATACAAAGAATGCCGCGGTGCCCTTTTTGATCATGTGCTTACGGGACTCCCTGTATATTAGTTTAATTAATTAATATATTTTAGTTTGCTGGGCTACTAGTAGTGATTTTCATCTTGGAAATGGCAGCTGGGATCTCGGCAGCCATTTACAAGACCGATTTTGCAAACACCCTAAAAAGTTCTCTCCACAAGTCGATGGCAAATTACACAGACAACAGAGTCGAAAAACTTGCGTGGGACAAATTGCAGAAAAAAGTACGTGCCTTAAGTTACAGCAGTCTTGCTAAGGTTCGAATTGCTCTGAAAACATACTCGCTTTCCAGTTGAAGTGTTGTGGAATAGACAAGCCCAGCGACTGGAACATTCCTCCTGCTATGTGGCCCAACTCGTGCTGCTACGAGGATAATGATCACGACCACTCTCAAAGATCGGACAATGAGCTACCGAAGGAAGACGCCTACTGTCAGGGACAGTCTACGGGTGTCTACGTCTATTCGAGCGGATGCTTCGAGAAGATGAAGGCTAAAATAGATGCGAATTCCAAAGTGTTGATTGGAGTGGGCATTGGAATTGCCTTTATCGAGGTGAGCGTTTACCTACATTAGAGTAGTGATTTCGCCATTGTGATGGAAAAAAAATGCTTTCTAACTGAACCAGACCTTGACATGTTTATGTTCTGTTCTATTTAACATTAATTGATACAGCCTGTATTATACAAGACTAATCGTTTGCCCGAACATGATGGAAAAATTCGTTGATAGGTGGTGGGCATTGCGTTGGCCTGCTGGTTAGCTTATACGATCAACCAAGACAAGCAATCCTCTGAATAAAAAGTGTAGACGATGGAGCTGCAGAGTAGTCCAGATGTGCACTTTACTTTAGTTTGTTGGGTAAACGGCACTTAAATCTAAAATAATTCATGCACCTATAGTTGAAATACAAAGATATGTTCGCTGCTTTAGCAGCCATATTATTTCTAGAATTTAGCTACACACCTTATAAAAAAAAATTCTGGGTGACATTCTGACGAAACAACAAAACAATTCAAATTATCTTTCACACCTTAATTTGCAGAAATAATCCTAGTAATCAGTCCTGCGGCAATCGTCGTTCCTGCCACTCGTAACATCACTCGACCTAATTCCTTGCACTCGCTGAACAATTCCAAAGCGATAGGCTTTGAGACTGTAATCTCCACTATGGCGTTGGAATTCTTTCGCAAATACCGTGGATGTTTTTTCTCCACCTCGCCGGAACTTTTGTTCAGTTGGAAAATAAGTTTAGTTATCACAGCTTGCTCAGCCAAGGATTGATGATGTAGAATGACCTGAAGATGGAATGGATTTACTATTTTATTGGGTCCAATTGCGTTACTCACCGAATAACCTTTTGTAATGGGAATTGCAACGCTGAACACTAGGATTCTGGCTTCGAATTTATTGGACACCGGAATAGGATAATGCACATCGCACAGTATGTTACCGATGGAGACATTCTGGATTTCCAAACCTGAAAGCGTCAGCGTAGCTTGGTCTCCTGAAGAGTAAAGAATGAAAACATATTCATATACAAATAGATACAAAAATAAAATGAATGTCTTCTTTTACCTGCGAAAGCTATTCTTTTAGAAGCGTCATCGATCATTATGGTCTTGACGGCAGATTGATCTTTACTGGGACAGATCATCACTTTGTCTCCGATATTAATCAGCCCCGTCTCTATTCGACCCTCAACACAAAATCCCGATCCTGTACCCTAAAACATCTTGATCTGAGTATACTTAGGCAGACCACTGATCAAATAGCGCCTACTTTAAAAATATCGTTTACTGAGAACCGGAATGGCTTGATCACGGGCCTCGCCGGTGATGTAAATTTATCTAGAAAGATAAATATCGTGAATTACTTACATGTGTAAAAGCAGTAGTTTAAACTTGCACACTTGTGCTGAAAACTTACCGATGGCCTCAATCAAGCATGGTCCGTCGTACCACTCCAGTATTTCGTTTTCGGTTGGAGGTTGAATTAAATTCTGGCCAGTCAGCCCGCTGCAAGGCACAAAATTGACATTGTTCTCTTTAAAACCTGCTTGTCGAAGGAATGACTTTAGTTTTTGTACAATCTCATCAAACCTGCAAGTAAGCATAAAATAATAATATTTAGACAAAACTCCACATACATATTTCGGTAGACAAGTTTTTGAGGTCAGTTTCATCAAGTTTTTTGTCATAGCCATGCGTTAATACGGCTCGATTTGTGTGCCAAACTTACCGATCTTTCGACCAGGACACTGTGTCTAGTTTATTAATAACAACGGTAAGTTGATTAACACCTAAAGACTTAACCAGGAGGGCATGCTCCCTAGTTTGACCGCCTAAATCAAAGCCCGTTTCGAATTCCCCCTTGGTGGCGTCCACAACTAGCAAACCGACATCAGCCTGTGCGGCACCCGAAATCATGTTGGGAATGAAGTCCTTGTGGCCTGGAGCATCCAAAATAGTAATCTGTAAGTAAATTCAATTTAAGTCCACGTACGCGTTTTATTGGTGAGATGTAGACGAGAAAGGAGTATAAACTTTACGAGCCCTTTTACACGAGGATACTTTTACCCGGCAACTATTGCTTCGGATACTGGTTTAACATAGAGCCTTATGGAACCGTACACACAGGGATACTTTTCACAATCAGTTTCGGCAACTGAATTTCGATCAGCCGTGAGTTCAGTTCGCTCTGGCAATTTTACGACTTCCGGGGCCGATTTTCTATGTGCCTTTATGGACTTGCTAATTATGAGAACCCAGCTACTACTTTGCTGTCTTGCTACAAGTAAATGGCATCGGAGTTTTCGGTCTGACACGAATCAGCGGGCAACTGTATCCTCGTGTTAAAAAGGTCTTAATATGCCTTACTTTCTTGGGAATTTTTATAGCAGAGCTTTTTTTATGTTTCTTAAAATACCTCTTTATTTTTTGTCTCAAATGAATGCCTGCCAACATCCATAGTAATGCCCCTGTTCCTTTCCTCGCCTGCTTCATCCAGTACCCACGCATACATAAAACTTTGTTTTCCCACCTTTTTGCTCTCCTGCTCATACTTGTGCATCGTTTTCTTGTTTACCTGCAATAACAAAGTTGTATTCTAGTTGAATTAATTTTGGCGACATACTTGTCCCAGTTCGCAGAGCAACCGCCCCATTAAAGTACTTTTACCAGCGTCGACATGACCAATAACAACCATATAGAGGTGTTCTTTGCCAAGGCCCCGTTCCTTTTTATACACAGCTTCTGCATCTACTTTAAGATCCGGTCTTCCAACTAGCAGATTATTCAGTTTAGCAAAAACATTAACGTATAAGCATACAATTATAAATCTTTAATAGAATCCATTCTTGGCCTCATTCATAAAAATGTATGTTACCTTTTTCTTCTCCTTCAGAGCACTCCGGTGTGACCCTATCAGAAGCCGGACTTTGACCTCTGCCTGACGAAGGGCTTTGAGCGTTAGGGGTGCTATTGACTCTGTGGGTAAGATCCTTATTTGTTAATTCAAGCACTTTTGGGGGCAATTTCGCATCTCTGGATGGCAGATTAAAGCCTTTGACTACGTTGGTGGTTGTTGAAGTTACCACTTTGCCTACGAACGTTGGTACTGGATCAACCACGGACGGTCGAGTAAGCGAAGCCCCTTGAAAAGTACAGTCGATGACCAGTTAATTTATTTCAGCTGGTTCGTAAACTCGAATTCACCTCTGTTCTTTATAGTTTCATCATTCGTTTCAAACTGCGGATCTTCCAAAATCGCATTTACAACCAGTTCAATATTGAACTGGTATTTCAATATTAGTCCCACCAGATTGGCTTTTGAAATGGTAACAGTGCCTAAAGTGTTCTTAATTTCATGCATACATGAATTCAGTTTGGCCTTCTGGATGTCGGTTAGTTCATCTACTTCGTCCACTTCTTGAATATCATCCGCATGTTCAAAGCGGGAATCTCTTGATGTTTCCCTGTTGTAAATGAACTGTCTATTGCTGGGGGAAATATAGTAGTCATCATCCACAGAATGGCCATAGACATCATCGTATCCATCATATTCTGAAGTAAAAAATGAAGGATTTTTACCTAACTAACGCACAAAATTCAGACTAGAAATACATAAGCTCAAAGGATCATGGTAAATAGAAATCCCTATCATACAATGGGTTGTATTATACGTAATTGACCATTGCAGCTTTCTTGAAAACCAATCACCATTCCATACTTACCGTCTTCATAGTCTAGATTTCTTATGTCGCGATGTCGAGCCATATCACGAGCCAAGTGATCGACAAATATTCTGTGTTGTTAATAACAAATAGGTATATTCAATAAAAATACATCCATGATTTACCGTAACAACTCTTTATCTATCACGGCCGGGCATGTACTTTTCTAAAACTATATGGGGCCTGGCTAGAGTAAGTAAAATAAGTTTTTTTATTATTTATATATAAATATATAATATTTTATTTTTTCTATGGGGCCTGGGCACTCTCGTGTAATGACAGTTCTACGTTTTTATCACAGGTTTTTATTTTTTGTTCAGACGGTTTGACACAGAGATAAACACAACTCCACAGATCACAGAGGTTACTCTCTGTCTTTATCGATGATTTGTAAAAAACTTTCTCTATCCTGTCCCCACAAAATATCCCCCCTGGGAGTATGTTCTGTGGCTGTCCCATGCATGCGAGTAGTGGGGGACAGTGTTGCCTTTTCATGAGTATAGCTTTTTAAAGGAATATTCCAAGCAATTCCAAGATTTGACTAGTTTCGGGGGTAGTTATAGATCTTGGCCCACTAATTCTAATCAATCTGTTGTTCTGGCAGGGTTTTAACTACAAAAATTCCCATTTTGCGCTAACTTTACTGGAGTTGTCCCAGTGACAATGACAGCAATTTAAAACTCGTCTTTATCTTTGATTTAAAATTACGGTGTAGCAGGTGAGGGGCCGCAGGTATAAAAAAATTTCCAAAGGGAAACATGGAACACCTGGAAATGATGTCAAATCCCGAAGTCATGTCAAAACAAAAAGAGAGTAAATGGTCTAATTACGGTCTGCGAATAGTGGTAAACACCGCTTCACACCCTTTCGACTATGCCAAGATTCTGATACAGGTAAGTGCTTTGTGGGGCCCACTGTGGATGTTTACTGGCGGTTTTTTCAGATTGGATACGAGCCCATCGCCCCCCGGCCCGCCAAAACGTTACTGGGCAAACCTGCTCTCAAACTGCCCAACATATTTGAGTATGGTAAGTTTCCCTTTGGTTTCACAGGTTTAAAACTTATGCAAGCTGAAAATCACAAGTTTTGGAGGCTCAATTTATCACCAGGCCTTTGCAGTAATAAAGCCGATTATTTTTTTAGTCAAGCACATAAAGTCTGTCGATGGATTTTCTGGACTCTACACTGGTCTGGCCCCAAAACTGTGCGGGAATCTCTTGAGCGCAATAGCTGCTCAGAAATGTACAGACTATTTTAAGATGCCTGTGTCTGAAAATTTGGTCTTCGAGGAGGAAGAGACTGAAGAAAACAGGCAAATATTGCCTTATTCCATCACCTGCACTTTAACTAACTAGAAAGTTTTCAGGAAGCAAATGTGGCTTGCTTCAATGAAGTCCGACTTGATCAGTCACGCAGCCGCTATGGTTGTCAGTCACCCTTTCCATGTTATCACCATACGAATGATGGCGCAGTTTGTAGGTCGGGAAGCCAAATACATGTAAGTTATTACAAATAGTAAGCATACGCAATAACAAATAGGTAGGTATTTAATTATCAAATTTTCAGGGGATTATTTGGGTCCATTAAGGAGATTTATCAGCAAAACGGAGTGTTGGGATTCTTCACCGGGCTGGTGCCACGACTGTTGGGTGATGTTCTAATCGTGCTACTGGCCGGAGGCCTCACTTACACAATAAACCGCTACTTAGTTGAAGAAAAGGAACTCAAAGTCTACACATCAGCCACTATGAACGTAAGAGTTTTTTCAGAAATTTTCCAGTGGTTCTAATGGGAAGGTTTTTCAGTTTATTGCATCCTCCATCATGTACCCATTCCACGTGGTGTCCAGTTGTATGGCAGTGAACAATTCCGGCCTCGAGATTGGCTCGCCGCCTTACATGCCTCACTACAACAACTGGCTGGGGTGCTGGGCCGATCTGGGCAGGCACCAACAGTTAAAGCGCGGGTCTAGTATATTCGTGCGGTACTACACAGGCCCATACATTAGTGTCTCCGGAAAACTACTGCCAGTCACCAAAGACCAAACGCTGTATCCCACACTTAAATCCTAATTCTTAAAATGGGTGCTGTTCAATGGTCTTTAGCAGGTTTGATGCGTACTGTGAAATTTTATTGTAAATAAAAAAAATCGAAAATCTGGTACTTTCACCTTTTGCAGTCAGATTGGTGTTAGAAAGTAAGCGCGCATTTGTTCGCATCAGGACTAGTAATATTTGCCTTATTTTACATGGGATAAAGCAAGAAGTGTTCGATACGTAAGTATGTGTGTTATCCCATATGAAATAAGGCAAATATTAAGTTTCATTCGTTTTCTTCGCCGGATGTGAACATACGTGCTCACATTCTAAGGGCATTTGCAAAGACTGCTAAGGTTTAGCAGCGTTTTCATAGTAGGAGAGTAGTTTAAATTAATATAGATTCCTTCATCATTTCATTGCATTTGTTTTCCTTATAGGGATATCCTAGATTGCCAATTTAATGGTTAGTGATTAGTGAGAAAAACTACGGTCAGCTTCAGTGACGTCACAGTCAAAACTTGCTGTGTCCTGATTTTTTTGGAATGTTGTCATTAAAAACTTATTAACGAATTATCTACTTTTCAAGTTAACTCTCTGATAAATTTAGTGGATAATTTCAAATAGCCCGCCGAAATGTGTCAGTGTCAGTCAACAAGTGCATTATGGGATAGGCAACAATGATAGGTGTCATCTGTCACTGGTATTAGTTATTAGTGGAAAGACTGTTTTTGTAATTTTGCAGGTGATATTTTCATTTAAAGCTGGCAAAAAACCAGTAAATCTATCCCAAAACGTGTGATATGCTTTTAACGTGCCGCGTCCAGTGGTTAAAATATAAGTGTGAATCGTCGAAACAGTCAATAAACAGGTTGACAGAGGTCAAAGCAAATGTACCTAACCTATAAAAAATATAGGATTTTTATAGCAATCGAGAGAGTTTTTGTTAAAAATTCGCAATTTCTAAGGTGAGTATTCAAATCTGCCCAAGTTGGGGGCTTGGAAAATGCTGGCGTTGTCAAGCAAATGAATGTTGTGAATTTTGAGACGTAGCACCCGAGTACAGGACTGATAATTGCACAGTAACTTTCATAGTTAATTGACCGTTTATTGGAGGTCTTGTTAACCTTTTCTAATCGTAGTGGGATTTGAAATAATCTTAAATGTGCACTTTGAATATAGCATTCGGATGATTCATGTTTGGCACTTGTTGATATCAATGGAAGATGAAAATTGAATTTTACTCTGTTTACAGCATCATCCAACATGTTCTGGAAGTATAACACCACCCCCTCTTCATCACAGATTGATACCCTTTTTGCCAAGGAGGTAAAGTATCAGCAAATTTAACGCTTAAGCCAATAACCAAATTTCTTTAGGATGTCACTCTGGAGGAAGTCATGGACTCTGAAGACATTATTAGCGAGTGCAGAGTCCAGAATAAAACTCTAATTGACTTGTAAGCTTCGCTTTGTACTTTAAATCTCCTGAATGATTAACTAATCCTGTGTATTTCATTGGCAGTTTGTTAAAGCCGGAAGTTATGCAGGAATTGGTCAGTTTGACCACTCGCGAACCTTCAGTAGAGATTAGCGAGAACATCAGATTCAAATATCCCAACATTGCCTGCGAGCTATTGACCTGTGATATACCAGCTATTAATGAACGGCTGGCAGGCGATGAAAGGTGCGCATATTTTCAGTCATCCGTAGAAGGTAGAGTAGATTGATCTATTTGCAGACTGTTGGAGAAACTCTACGGATTCCTGGAGAATGAGCCACCTCTGAACCCACTGCTGGCTTCCTACTTTAGTAAGATAATGGGCGGCCTTATCGCAAAAAAGACTGAACAGGTTTGTTCCCCATGCTTTTTCTCTGAGTTTCCACTAGGTGCCTCAAAAGAACCTGATACTGGAGTGGTTTTGGTTAATGTTCAATTGAACATCTTTTTGGAACCTTTGCTAGCTGTGTTGATGTTTTCTAATAGTTTTGAGTAATTTATTATGGGAGTTAATCAATAGTTTAATTGTTCTGGTGAATAATGATTAGAATTTCAAAGGCTGCTAAGCTGATTTTTGAGAGAAAAGGACTTTCAATAGCTGAAGGATTCGCATCAGTATTCGCTTGAAGATGGTTTAAAGTCATTGAAGTATTTTAATACTCCTTTAAGGCAAACGAATTTTTTGGGGGTACAGGGTTCAGTTGGATCTGTTATATTATATTTTTGTTAAATACGCTATACAAGGTGTTTAATGAGGAATGGGCATTATTTTAGTGCCCGCTCCATGAGCATATTCTCAAATTGATTAATTTCTTCCCCATTTCCTCAACAAACTCTTTGTATGGATTGATTTTTTGTTTAACAGTAGCTTTCAATGTTGTGTTGTTTGTGTGAAAACAATTTAGTAGTGTACCAAAACTATAACGTGAATTTCTCCTCCCTGTCCTTGCCCCCAACCTATCCCCACTGTGATACATGTTGGGCAAAATTTCGATTTATACTAAAACTGGGAAATTATCGTTTTATTTGGTCAATTGGACGTTTTTCACACCACACGTTGTAATGCTCCAAATTAACCGGAATCCCGAACATCCCGTTGTGTCCTTCGCGCTCCAGAACTGGCTGTCCTATCAACTCACGTGCTTGCAGGTCCTAGATTTTTTAAAAGCTAGGGACACTTTTCTGCCCTTGCTGATCAGTCACTTGGGCACGTCCGCTATCATGGATCTCATGCTGAAACTGATGACCCAAGTGGAAGGCATTGAAATGCGACAGAACATTTTGAATGTGAGTTGCTGTAATGAAGGATGATCCTCGAGTTTATGTTGACGGGTTTCGTTTTTCAGTGGCTGGACAGTGAAAGGATAATTCAGCAGCTGATTTGTCTGCTGAACCCGAAGGTGGAGAAGAAAAGGCACGACAATGTTGCTCAATTATTGTGTGATTTTCTCAGGACCGCCAAGGATGTCCAGCGCAGCTGGAACGAGCGAGCTGATCCCGATCCTCTGCTGCTTACGCTGGAATCGTAAGTTTTAGCAAGCGGATCAAGTAAGCTTTCAGTCGGTTCAATGTTGCATTTTTGCTTCAGCTCCGAAACCATCAAATTACTTCTAGACCAAATGTTCGATGATGGAAAGTGCGAAAGTTCTATAGTGGGCGGCATTCAGATCCTGATGGTGCTTTTAGATGTTAACCAACAGAAGTAAGTAAATTATCTGTTAGATTTATTGATTGAAATACGGTTGGGTTTTATGGAAATAGACAGAAAAGGCATGATTAAATCAGATTTTCAAAACCGCTCTTAGCTATCCGGTCATGATTGACAGAGGTTTTTAGTTTTTGTGGAAAAAATGACTAGGATTTTCAAATCGCTGTTGGTATTTAGCTGATCATTTGAAAATGCGCTTTTTTGTATTAAATATCAACTTGAAACTTTTATTAGTTTGATGCAACAACCTAAATCCATAGTAAAAAATGTAATTTCCATTAAGACACTGATTTAAGTGAAATGTTGTGTTCATCTAGTGCACCAGTTAGAAATGACATGCTAGTAGTCGAGCCTTATTCATACGAGCACAGAAGCAACTATGAAGCCGCCGAAACGGAACAAAAACGAAAAATAGTGTCGAATACTGTCCAAGCAATTGCGACCAGATTAAAGGAATTCCACGGACTTTTATTAGATCCCCCTAAGGTACGCTTGCGGCCCTTCATGCAACTAAAGTTGAATGAGTGTTTCCTTTTCAGCAACCTTCGGTATTAACCACTACAGGCATTTTGGACCCGCCAGTCGGCAAAACGCGACTTCAAGTGGTGCGACTGCTCAGCCATCTGATCCCGTTGAACTCCCTTGAATTGAACATGGAGCTGATCAATTTAGGAACCTTCCCAGTCCTTTTGGATCTGTTATTAAAGTACCCGTGGAACAACTTTTTGCACACCCATGTAGAGAACTGTCTGGCACATGTTTTGGAAATGGCGATCCCATTTCCACAACCCACCGAAGGAAAGAAGGTCTCCGATTTGTGTGATCATGTAAGAATTATTCATGTGAAAGTGCCCGGTGAACAACGGAATCAACCACTACCATTTGCTTTCAGTTGGTAGGCCAATGTAATCTAATAGAAGTGATAATGAAAGCGTGGAAGGACAACGACGAGCAGCAGTAAGTTTGCCGCAAAACTCAATGTTCTCAATTTCACTAAGACTCGTTCCAGAGCGGAAAAGAAGGCGATTAGACAGGGCTATATGGGCCACTTAATCAACTTAGTCAATCGCATAGTTAAGATCTCGAAAAATACCGAGATTGCCGATCATCTGAAAACCCTGAAGCCGGAAGTGGCTGACGCTTTGGAGGAATTGCGGATCACTAAACTGGCCGAAGTGATGGAGCAGCAGGACATGCTTTTGGTAAGCTCCGAGTGGATATATGGGGGATGTTTCCAATTTGCCATTTTCAGGGCGGGCTTCATCCGAGCAGCTTAATGGAGAACAGCGAGGAGATTGAGGATATACCATTTGCTTTGAACAGCACCTTACAACAACAGGTAGGCTGAAATCAAACGAAAATGATGCTGATACATAATTTTTTATCTACGACTAACACATTAAAATGCGGGTGATTGCAGTATGCACACTTTAAATGCGAACCCTGGTTTACAGTGTTATGCCCAGTACCAGCTTCAGAACATGCCCCCGCTGTACATGGAGGGCTACAACGGTTTCAAAGACAACACGTTTAACGACGGCGAAGACACTTTGCAGTACGTGCGATTAACTCAAATAGAAAAACGTTCCCTTTGAGATCATGCAATCGGTTTTGCAGGACTATGGAGAATCCCACGGGCGTCAGCTTTGACCTATCAGAAACCGATATGATGTTGCGCGACACCATATTCAAGCAAGTATGCGCGCAGAGCATCAACACGATGTTCGATGCAGATGATCAAGTTTTCGAGGATCCAGACCACACTTTCCAGACTGTGATCGAGAAGAAGGATCAAGGTGATGTGGCCGAGAACAGCAGCGATAGCGACGACGAGGTCCCAAATGACGAGGAGAATATGGATGTCGATCGTTAGTTACTTGTTTTTCATTTCTTCCTGATCGTTTACTGAAAGCAACCAACTGCAGCATGGGCGTCTGCCAAAAGCGATCCATGGAGCACGTTGGCGTCCAGCAGTAGCCCGAAACTGGCAACAAATTGGGCGGATTTTAGTGCGGCCGCGTTTTCTGAGCCGCCAGCTTTCGCCGCCACTTTCGACTCGCCCAGCCCAAAGCAAGCGGAAGAACCAGTTCAGCCACAAGCCGAGGCGCCATCGGATAGTGAGAAGAAAGCGGCCGCTGGCGATCATCCAGATGCAGCGGCTGCGGTCAAAGTCGAGGACAGCACCAGCAGCAGCTGTTCGCAGCCGTCCAAGTAAGTATGTATAATGTAAATTTGCTACGAACTTCGACATTAAACTCTAATGCGATTGTTGTGCTGAGCCCTTCGGGCACGCCACTGACTCAAAAACTCTTACCCGACGATTCATCAGTTCTTGCGAAAACATCAGGGTCGTGTCCGAAGGACTCGGCACAATCATTGCAATGAATAGACTCTCATTTAGTTATTGTGCCAGTCCTTTCTGGAATGACACGAATTTTGCCAGAAACTGATCAAATAGCGAGTTTAGTGTATGTTTTGTGTACCAACCAGTTCTGGTCAAAATACTTTTTGGATCCGCTTTCCGAGATACCGATACATTTTGGCTTCTATCGCTTTCGAGGCTGGATATTTCGATATCTGAAAATGTTCTCCCTGTTTGTCCGATTCCGATTAGGTGTTTAAATCTCGCATGTTTCCAAGTTAAGGCCGGGTCACGTCTATCCGATCCGACTCCGATCATATAATCGGACGAAGATCTGAGAGCAAAATGGTACTGGACATTCAACGCTGTAGTTCACATCTTTCCGCTATCTGCCCGATCCATCTGCCCATAGCCATGCTGGCTATTCGATGGGTATTTGCTATCCGATTGTCGGAAGGAAAAACGGTCCGCATTTTAGGTTGCGTCAGTGATACATTTGGTTTTTAATGGACAATTATTTGCAGTAAGCTGTAGATATTTGAATATTTTGATTGGGCTTACAGAATTTTACTGATAGAAAACAAAAACAAACTCAATTATTAATAATGCACATGATTAGTCGCAAGTATTAATTTATATTTCTGTTTACACAGCAACTGTATGTAAGGACTCTGGCAAGGAATATTGAAAAAATAACTACTAAAGTGTACATTGTAAACTGTTCATGGAAATTTATTTACTACTTCAGGTTTTACTGTTTTAATTAAACCCCTCATTTTGTAGACATTTTTATTCTCTACAAATCATCTCGTTGGGCATTCCGATAACTCCATTATTATATAATATTATAAACAAAAAAACAAAAATCGCACCGCATTGAATTTTTGGCAATAAATTGTTAATAACTAACATATGGACCGGAAATACGAGTGGAAATCAAATCCCTATTAATCTGATTATTATCTTTTATATAATTCCAAATTAAAATCAAATCCTGGGTTCTTCAGTCATTTATTGTTCATTTATCAATTAAAAAAACGTTTCGGTGTTTTCCACCATCATCAGTTTCAATGTGTAGCGTTCTTGCTACTTTACGCCTTGGCATGTATTTTGGCGTAATACAACATTGTAATTGAAACACAGTCAGGAAAGTACGTACAACTTTTATATAATCGCACAATTAGTTTGCTACTAGTCTTTTTGTGACGTTAAAGCATTTTATTCGAATACTCGAATATCTAACGAATACCTGTTCGAATATTCGAGTATTTCTATTCGAATTCGTTAGATATTCGAGTGTTCGTTTTCCGTTCAGCGTTTTCCAAGAAGAAAAATCGTTATCTCATATCATTTTTGGTGCCTTTGTCGGCACATTAATTGTAACACCGCGCAAAAGTTGATGACGCGTATCACCAGAAAACAGAGACGTAATTTTACATTCATTTGCAGGAGAGTAAATATGATTATTTTCATTTGCTTGTAAATATATGGGTATTT